CCCATCCCATTTCTCCCACCCTTCCCACTCCCACTCCCATCCCATACCTCCCATCCCCATCCCATCCCAACCCCATCCTATCCCACCCCACACAGCCCAGCCCATCTCTTCCATCCCATTTCTCCCACCCTTCTCATCCCCATCCCATCCCTCCTACCCCATCCCATCCCTCCCATCCCCATCCCCATCCCTTCCATCCCATTCCTTCCACCTCTCCCCATCCTTCCCACCCCACCCCACACTCACTCCAGACAGGGGGGAGCGCAGGAATTCCTCTTCCATGTGCACCTGGACCTCAGCAATGGATGTGTACTTGTGCTGCAGGGACAGGGGAGGTCACCAGGGCCACACTGCCCACACCTCCCACCCTGAGGATGGGCAGCACCCGGGGGAAGGGATGAAGACACCAAGAAAGGGAGGAAGAGATGAAGAAAGGGAAGAAGCCCCAGAGACAGGGATGAAACTCCCTAAGGAAGCGATGAAACCCCAAGGACAGGGATGAAAACATGAAGAAACAGATGAAGCCCCAAAGACAGGGATAAAACTCCCTAAGGATGGGATGAAACTCCCTAAGGATGGGATGAAACCCCAAGGACAGGGATGAAGACATAAAGAAAGGGTTGAAGCCCCAAAGAAAGGGATAAAACTGCCTAAGAAAGGGATGAAACTCCCTAAGGATGGGATGAAACTCCCTAAGGATGGGATGAAACCCCAAGGACAGGGATGAAGAAACTCCCTAAGGATGGGATGAAGCCCCAAAGAAAGGGAAGAAACCTCAAAGACAGGGATGAAGCTCCCTAAGGAAGGGATGAAGCCCCAAAGACAGGGATGAAACTCCCTAAGGAAGGGATGAAACCCCAAAGGGATGAAGCTCCCTAAGAATGGGATGAAGCTCCCAAAGACAGGCATGGAGTCCCCTAAGGAAGGGATGAAGCCTCCTAAGAAAGAGGAGAGATCAGGGATGGGCTGAACAGGCTGTTCCCATCATGGGGCTGAGAACGTGGGACACAGGTCAGGAAAACCTCCCAGTGTCCCTGAGCTGTGGTGGGAACAGAGGGATGGGGCTGGAGGAACATCTCAAGGACTCACCAGCTTCAGGGTGCGAATGCTCTCATGGATGGGCCTGGGCAGTCCCACCACGGTGTTGGTGTCACTGGAGGAGGAAAAAACCAGGCTGGGACAGGCAGGAGCACCCATAGGTGGGGCAGAGACCACCCATGGGTGCAGCCTTGAGGTGGCAAGCCCAGAACTTCTGTGCTGCAGCCCCAAAGGAGCTTCTCCCACAGCCTCCCCAGGGTGGTAGCCCCTGGACCCACCTGCCCAGGGTGTAGCCAATGAACTTGCTGCGACTGGACTCCAGGAACATCTCAATGTCCTTCTCTCTGCAGCAACAAGGGAAGAGTCACATCTTCCTGCCCACCTGGGCACAGCCCAGGCACAGGGAAAGGTCTCATGGGCAGGTCAAGGGGATGTGGTGCCCAGAACATCTCCCCAACAGGGCAACCACTGAGGGGATCACCCCAACACCAACACCAGAGTGAGTTTAGGGGTTGGGATGGAGCTTAGAGGATCATCCAGTGCCAACCCCCTGCCATGGGCAGGGACATCTCCCCCACCAGAGCAGGTTGCTCAAGGCTTTAGCCAACCTGGAATGAACAGTGACAGGGTTGGGGCAGCCACAACATCCTTTGGGGCATCCAGAACCTCCTTGGGGCATCTAGAACCTCCTTGGGGCATCCACAACCTCCCTGGGGCAACCACAACCTCCCTGGGGCATCCTGTGCCAGTGTCTCCCAGAGCTGCTCTCAGTGACTTCTCTCCCAGCCTAGAGGTGTCTGGGACTGCCCTGACCCAGGTGTGACATTGCACTTGGCTTTGGTGAACTCCATGAGGTTGGCACAGACTTTCCAGCCTGTCCAGGTCCCTCTGGATGGACATCCCTTCCCTCCAGGTGTGACTGCACCATCTCTACCACTTTCTTTCCATCCCTGCTGAGCTTCCCAACATCCAAGAGCCATTCCAGCAGAATTCCAGCTCTCCCTGCAGGACTCACCTGACCTTGGGGGCCCAGGGCAGCCCCTTGGGGCAGGTGATGCGGTCGCTGGGGGGATGTTGGATGGGGGGAGGCATCACTTCATCCCGTTCCAGAGGGAAGGTCTCTCCCTCCAGGCTGTTGTCATCATCATTCTCCTCCTCTTCCTCACGGGAATCATCAGCTTTGTATGGGTCCCTCTCGTTGAAGGCATCAAGGTTGTCCTGCTTAATGAGGGCCTGAGGAGAGTGGCAGGGCTCATGGCACCATGCCCTGGTCCATGGCACCATCCCCTCGTTGATATTACTATCCTTGGTTTAATGTCACCATCTCCTGGTTGATGCCATCACCCCTTGGGTAGTGTCACCATTCCATGGTTCCTGGCACCATCTCCTGGTTAGTGTCACCATCCCCTGGTTAGTGTCATCATAGCCTGGTTGATGTCACCATCCCCGGGTCTATGGCACCATCCCCTGGCCCATGTCACCATCTACTGGTCTATGGCACCTACCCCTGGTTAGTGTCACCATCCCCTGGTCTATGGCACCATCTCATGATTCCTGGCACCATCACCTGGTTTGTGCCACCATCCCCTGGTCCATGTCACCATGTCCTGGTTGATGTCAACACATCCCTGGTTGATGGCACCATCCCCTGGTTAGTGCCACGATTCCCTGATCCATGGCACTGTCTCTTGGTTAGTGTCACCATCCTCTGGTCCGTGCCACCACCCCCTGGTCCATAGCACCATCTCCTGGTTCATGACATTGTCTCCTCGTTCAGGTCCCCATGCCCTGATCCATATCACCACCCCCTGAACCATGGCACCACCCCCTGGTTGATGCCACTGTCCTCTGCTGAGTGTCAGCAACCCCTGGCTGCTGTCCCCTCCTCAGGTGAGTGTCACTGTCCTCTGGAGAGTGCCACCACCCCTTGGTTGATGCCACCACCCCTTGGTTGATGCCACTGTCCTGTGGTGAGTGTTACCACCCTCTGGCTGATACCACCACCCCTTGGCTGATGTCACCACCCTCTGGCTGATGCCACCACCCCTTGGTTGATATCACACTCCTGTGGCGAGTGTCACCACCCCCTGGCTGATGTCCCCTCCCCAGGTGAGTGTCACTGTCCCACCTTGTGCTCCCTTCGGCCGCGTTTCTGCTGCTGCTCGATGAGGTCGGAGGCCGACGCCGGAGGAGACGCCGCGCGCATGTTCCGGATCACCTTGATGCTGTCCTCAGGGAGGGGTGGGAGGCCCAGGATCTCCCTCTTCTCTGCCTTCATGCTCTGCAGCTCCTCAAACCCTCCCAGGGTGCACTGCAAGGCAGATCAGAGCAGGATGGAGGATTCCAAGGGTCCTGCTCTTCCCAAATCTGCTCTCCAGGAGTCAACTCAGCTTGGAAAAGTCCTCTGAGATCACTGAGCCCAACCACTCCCAGCACTGCCAAGGCCACCACAAACCATGTCCCCAAGTGCCACATCCACATGGTTGTAAATCCTTCCAAGGATGGAATTGTTGAGGTTGGAAAAGACCTCCAAGGTCATCAAGTCCAACCTGTGACCCATCACCACCTTGGCAACTAGAGCAGAGCACTGAGTGCCATGTCCAGTTGTCCATAGTGTGTTAAGGGGTTGGAATGGAGCTTGGAGATCATCCAGTGCCAACCCTCTGCCCTGGGCAGGGACACCTCCCACCAGAGCAGGTTGCTCAAGGCTTTAGCCAACCTGGAATGAACAGTGACAGGGCTGGAGCAACCACAACCTCCTTGGGGCATCCACAGCCTCCTTGGTGTTCCTTGAACACCTCCAGGGGTGGTGACTCCATCACCTCCCTGTTCAGCCCCTTCTAATGTCTGACAACCCTTTCCATGGAGAAATTCCTCCTGATGTCCAACCTGACCCTCCCCTGGCACAGCTTGAGGTGTTCCCTCTTGTCCTGTTGTTCCCTGGGAGCAGATCCTGACCCCACTTGGCTGCACCTCCCATCAGGAGTTGGAGAGAGTGAGAAGGTCCTCCTGAACCTCCTTTTCTCCAGGCTGAGCCCCCACAGCTCCCTCAGCCCCTCCTGGTGCTCCTGCCCCTTCCCAGCTCCATCCCCATCTCAGGACATGCTCCAGCCCCTCAGTGTCCTTGTCCTGAAGGACCCAAATCCTTCTCCAGGCTGTGACACAGGAGTTGCTTGTCCTGTCCCCAAGCTGCTCTGGTCACTGGGACAGCCAGGAGGGACAGAAAGGTGTACAAACATTCCCAACTGGAGTGTCTGGAGCTTCTCTCTCACAGACCCAACCTTGCTTTGGGTCCATCCTTGGGATTCAGCTCCAGACACCAACATTCCCTAGGGAGGGAAACCTGGGATGGGTTCAGTGGGTGCAAACCCCATGAGAACATGAGGATGGAGCAAGGACAATCATCTCCAAGGGCAGAATTCCCTTCCTGTAGTGTGTGTGGGCACATCCCATGGCATCTCCTCACCAGCACAGTCTTCCAGAGCAACAGCAGCACCTTCTTCATGGGGAAGTGTGGAGCGTGGCCACTGCAGAACTTGGTCACCATCCCAAAGAGCATGACGGAGAAGGGCTCGTTGTTGTACAGGGGAGCTCCTGCAACCACAGGGCACCATTGGCCAAGCATTTCCTAGCCCTGTCCTCAGCCCAACCTCCAGCACCACCACCCCCTGAACCCCCACATCCATCTCTGAGACCCTCATCCCATCCCTGTCCTCATCCCAGTCACTGCCATCACCATCTCCTGCACCTTCACATCCATCTCTGAGATCCTCATCCCATCCCTGTCCTCATCCCAACCACCAGCACCACCCCCTGAACCCTCAACACCTCCAAGATCTTCATCTCATCCCAGACAGCTCCCTCATCCTTGTCCTTACCCATCCTCATCCCTGTCCTCATCCCAGTCACTGCCATCACCATCTCCTGAACCCTCACACCCATCTCTGAGATCCTCATCTCATCCCAGACACCTCCTTCACTCCTGGCCTAGAGCCAAATCTCATCTCAGTGTCTCTCTTCAGCCCTGGAACCTCCATACAGCCATCTATCCTCATCCCATCCCTGTCCTCATCCCAACCACCAGCACCACCCCCTGAACCCTCAACACCTCCAAGATCTTCATCTCATCCCAGACAGCTCCCTCATCCTTGTCCTTACCCATCCTCATCCCTGTCCTCATCCCAGTCACTGCCATCACCATCTCCTGAACCCTCACACCCATCTCTGAGATCCTCATCTCATCCCAGACACCTCCTTCACTCCTGGCCTAGAGCCAAATCTCATCTCAGTGTCTCTCTTCAGCCCTGGAACCTCCATCCCAGCTCCTGGCCCAAGTCCTAGAGCCAAATCCCATCTCACTGCCTCTTCCCATCCCTAAAAACTCCATCCCAGCTCCTGGTCTGAAGCCTAGAACCAAATCCCATCTCAGTGTCTCTCTCCATCCCTGGAACCTCCATCCCAACTCCTGGTCCAACTCCTGGAAGCCAAATCCCATCTCACTGCCTTTTCCCATCTCTGGAACCTCCATCCCAGCTCCTGATCCAAGGCCTAGAGCCCAGTCCCACCTCAGTGTCTCTTCCCAACCCTGGAAGCTCCACCCCAGCTCCTGGAAGCTCCATCCCAGCCCCTGACCCAAGTCCTAGAGCCCAATCCCACCTCAGTGCCCCTGCCCACCCATGGGAGCAGCCGGAATCTCACCCAGCTCCGCGCGGAACGTTTGCCTCATGCTCTTCCACTCGGGTTTGTCTCCCTCAGCCTCCTGCCTCACCGTCTCCACCATCAGGTACATGATGTTCAGTAGCACCCTGCGAATTCCAGAGGGAGGGAATCAACCCCAGAGCTTGGCAGGACTTCTGGAAGAAGCACCACCAGCACCCAGAGCTTGGGAGAGAGGCTGGAGCAGCCACATTCCATGTCCCACTCCACAGCAGGACTCGGGCACTGGGGGGAAAGGTCACTGCAATTCCAAGCAGGAATAAATCTCCTTTCCCATATGCTTTCACATTCCCAACCTGCCACATTCCCACTGGGCAGGGACACTGCCAGCTGAGCATAGAGCTGAGATAGCTCTCCAGTGTCATTCCCAAGCTCCCAGAGCATCCAGCAATCCCTGTTTCCCCTTCCTGCCTCCAATCCTTCCATCCCTGAGATGCCTATGGAGCTGGAACAGCTCTCCAGTGCCTTTCCAAATCATCCAGCAATCCCCATTCCCTCTTTCTTCCCTCAATCCCTGTTCTATCCCTGAGATGCCCATGGAGCTGGGACAGCTCCACAGTGTCATTCCCAGGCTCCCAGAGCATCCAGCAACCCCTGCTCTGTCCCTGAGATGCCCATGGAGCTGGGACAGCTCTCCAGTGCCTTTCCAGAGCATCCAGCAATTCCCATTCCCTCTTTCTTCCCTCAATCCCTGTTCCATCCCTGAGATGCCAATGGAGCTGGGACAGCTCTCCAGTGCCTTTCTCAGGCTCCCAGAGCATCCAGCAATCCCTATTTCCCCTTCCTGCCCCTAATCCCTCCATCCCCAAGATGCCCATGGAGCTGGGACAGCTCTCCAGTGCCTTTCCCAAGCTCCCAAAGCACCTTGTTCCCCCTTTTTTTCCCCAATCCCTCCATCACTAAGATGCTCATGGATCTGGGATAGCTCTCCAGTGCCTCTCCCAGGCTCCAAAGCATCCAGCAATCCCCATTCCCTCTTTCTTTCCCCAATCCCTCCATCCCTGAGATACACAAGGAGCTGGAACAGCTCCCCAATGCCTTTCCCAGGCTCCAAAGCACCCAGGAATTCCCGTTCCCCCTTTCCCACCTCCATTCCCAGCCCCACACCTGAGGTCCGTGCTGTCAGCCAGGGAGATGGCAGGTTTCCTCACGGCACTGGAGCAGGCTGCACTGTTGCTGTGGGATGAGAACACCTCAGAAGGGATTGCCGGGAATTTGAGCTGCTTGGCTTACAGGGAATTTTGGGATCAAACAAGTCTAATTCATTCCATACCCACCCAGAACAATGGGAACTACTCCAATGGTCCAAAGCTGGATAGAGCAAGAATGGGAGTGCTATAAGCCAAACCAGCTCCTGTTCGGGTATCCCAGAGAATTCCTGAGGGGTTTTCCTGCTGTACTCACTCAATTTCCATGTTGAGCAGCTCCACCAGAGCGTTGAAGGTTCCAACTTCCAGGAGAAGGAAGATGTTGTACCTCATCCAAGCTTGGACCTCAGCCTCGGAGCTGCATTCCCCAAACGTGCCTGAAAGGAGATCCTCACTGATCCCAAATCCATGGGATCCCAAGGCCCTTCCACACCACCAAAGGGCTTGGCAGAGGGAAGGGAAAACACAGCCTTAAAATGAAGGGGAAAAGTGGGAATGCAGGGATGGGATTGCCCTGGTGACAGACCCCAGGTCTGGCAGAGCTGAGATAGAAGATATTCCCTGATCCTACATCCACAGAGATCCCAAGGCTCTCCCACACTTTGCAGAGGGAAGTAAAAACACAGCCTCAAAATGATGAGGGAAAAGTGGGAATGCAAGGATGGAATTGCCCTAGTGACAGATCCCAGGTCTGGCAGAGCTGGAATAGATCTTCCATGATCCCAGCTCCAAGGGGATTCTAAGGCCTTCCCAAACTGCCATGGCACTTTGCAGAGGGAAGGAAAAACACAGCCTTAAAATGAAAGGGAAAAGTGGGAATGCAGGGATGGAATTGCCCTGGTGACAGATCCTAGGTCTGGCAGAGCTGGGATAGAAGATATTCCCTGATCCCACATCCACAGGGATCTCAAGGCTCTCCCACAGTTTGCAGAGAGAAGGGAAAGCACAGCCTTAAAATGAAGGGGAAAAGTGGGAATGCAGGGATGGAATTATCCCAGGCCTGGCAGAGCTGGGATAGGAGCCCCTCACTGATCCCAACTCCATGGGAGCTGGGACAGCACATGGAATTCAACCAAACCTGAGCCCAAACCCCTCTAAACCCTCTGTGCCCCCTGATCCCTTCACCCCACACATCCCAAGTGCCATCCAACCCCTGGAGGAATGAAAACTACCTAAAATCCATTGTGTTTAGAGCTCCCAATCCCAGCCCTGGATTCGGGAATGGAAAGAGCAGAGCCCAGAGGGAGCTCTGGAGTCACCTTGGGCCACATAGAGGATGGCTCTGGCCACCTTGAGCCTCTTCTCCCTGGCAGTGACCTCCAGCCCATCCAGCAGCCTCATGGCATGGGTACGGTGCTGTTTCCTCTCCAGCTCCAGCCACTTCTTGTCCCGCACTGGAATGCCAAAGGAAGCAGGATCAGGCCCCAGGGAACCCTCTGCCTGCCCTGGATGTGCTCACAGTGGGGTGGAAAACAGGGAATACAGTGCTGGAATGGACACCCCAAGGGTGGGGTGAGTCTGGGGACTTCCAGCAGGTCATTAGGGAAGGATGGAATGGCCTGAGTGGAAGGGACACACAGGGATCATCAATGCAACTCCTGGACTTCACAGGATACTCCAACAATCCCACCCTGTGCCTGAGAGCATTGGCCAAACACTCCTGGAGCTCTGTTGGGTTTGAGATTGCGCCCACTGCCCTGGGGAGCTGTTCCAG